TGGTCTTGCCTGTCTGAATGTAAGCAGATCTGGAACCATGAGTGTGGTAGTTGTCTGACCCACCTGGTGTTGCCCACAGATGACTTCTCTTCCTGTAATGACTTACGGTCTACTCGGGAATAATTTCATTTACTTTGGTGCTTGAAATCATTATTTTTAGGTAAATGCATACTTCACTGTAAAATTATTTTTAATTTTATTATGTTTTACAGTAAGTTACCATTCTAAATGTTCTGTCATGAGAGACCTGGTCATCAATGGTACTCGTCCACTGATCGATAGTCTGTCTTCACCTTCTAAAACTGGGCCTGGTTGTTGGACTGCTAGTCCATTGGTGGTTTGCAAGCTGCCCAAGACTTTAATATGTTTCAAAATTGAGAATGTAAAATAAATGTTCAAGAAAGATTTCCAAAAATGTTTAATGCAATGAAAGGTGTTTATTGTACTTAAAAACTATTCAGTAGATATTGTACAAATGATATTTAATAAAATAGTTTCCTTCAATTTAGTTTAATTTTTCAGAAGTGGTGTGTACTGAATCATCGTGGGTGCAATAAATTCAGGCACACACTTGATGCAGTGGAAGTCGTGCCAGACTCATCAGAAGGAGCCTCAGTCCTTATTATGTTTTTATGAGTATTTTGTTTATTTCAATAGGATTAAGGAAAAGGATCACAGATGTGAATGTCATGATTATGTCAACATTTTTATTCTTATTATACAGTGGACAGAATGAGTGTGTTACATATTAAGCTCTGTTTTTCTATTAATGACAAATTGCTGTGAGAGATTTGTCGACTAGTTAGAATGATAATGTTGACCTGATCTTTTATACACACCATTATTTTGTCAGGACCAACCACATAAAATACAGGTCAACATGTTTTGTTTCAAATATAAGGAGGTTACAACTTAAAAATTATGTATTATACAAGTATAATTCATAAGGAAACTTTCATAAACACAAAGCACAATTATATTATGTAAATTACGCCACAGGAAAGTGTAAGAAGGGCGGTTGTAAATTTTTGCTATGTATGTACTTCTTTCTATCTTATGAAAATTTTAAGAGTTCATATAAAGAAAAATATTGCAGAATTACTGGGTTTTTGGACTTTTTCCATTGTCCGAAATTCTAGATAATAGAGGACACTCTAGGTAATAGAAGAAACGACATTTCAGAAACTGGATCTGTTTCCAAAACGTTGTGTCCACTATCACCTAGAGTGTCCTCTGTTACCTAGAATTCCGGACGATGGATAAAGTAAAAAAAAAGTAATTCTGTATGTCATCCACCATCATCAGAACCCTTTAGTATCTACAAGATAAATATTCTTTGAAGGAGATGGATGAAATTTTTGGAGCTCCCAGTTGAAAATATATGAACCCCAGTTCAGACTTGTTATTAGTTTCATAAAATACTTTTACAAGTTTGAAAAATAGTTTCATAAAGAATGTAACAAAACCTTCAAAGAGACACAGATAGACAAGAAATATCATTCAGTTGGTGTTAATTTGATTCCATTTCGCAGATCAATGTATTCTGTGCTGGCACTTCTTATTCTTTCACTTACCGTAAATCCAATAATCTTTGCATTACAAAGACTAATATAATTCTGTTGTAGTTCCTTTATTTAACAAAGAGTAAGGAGAGTGGTTCTTGTAAAACTGAAAACATTCTAAAGGTATATATACTAAGCAGGGTCAACACATCTTATCATCTTACATAATTACAACATTTTCCAAATAGTCCATGAAGAATAAAATCAAAACTTTAGAACTGAATAAGTTGCCAACCTCCATTAACCTCCACATGCAAAACCTAATTTCTTGTTATAGTCATTATGCATACAAAATTAAATTAATGAAATTAGGAGTTACATCATAGAGGTGCATCATGGAGCCCACACCAAGTCACTCACAGCAAAGCATGGGTTATTGAGATGGTGCTGAGATGTTTGTGTAACCACCTACTATTCCTGTAAAAGTTGTTTCTGTGCATAATTAAGCACCATGTCATGATTGATGTATAGGGGAATGGCACTGCAGCGTCAGTCTTAATCTTCAGTGCTAGATGGAGGTGAACAGTTTGCTATACCCTGACTGCTTTATTCCTATGGAGAGAGCCCACTGTACTGTATCTATTGGCAAAGGGTCTGCATGGGCTTCAGAGCCAGTGTGCAGGTGATTGTGGGCTCAAATGAGCTGTGGTCCATAAGATTCTACTAGGGCACCATAGGTGGCCTAATTTGCAGGAAACTGTGACCCATATGGGACCATGGTCTCCAGCATTCTACTTGTCCAGCCAATTTTGTACAAGGTCATGGCTCCCATGGGTCCACGAACCCGAATATTCTGCTAGGCTAGCAGAGTCTGCACAGTGTACAAAGAATTATGGTCCCTTCAGGGAAAATATCAGAGGTGTGCCCACTGGGATGGACCTCAATTATCTTTCATCCACTCAAAGTCTGGTCACTGTATAGAATGATCCCCAGTTTCTTGTGCCAGACTGTTGTATCTCCACACCCCCATATGTTCTCATGTTATGGTGCTTGGCAGATCTTTACCTTTACTGATATGGTATTTTGCCATCAATCTAGTCACCTTTCACACTCTAAGTGTTAAACAAACCTATTTGCTTGTATCCAGACTAACTGATCATCAGTGTGATTTGAAACCCGTGAGCTAATTTTCTGAACTACATGGCATCACATTTCAGAATACTGTAATCTTAACACTTCGCGGACCGGTGATTTAAATATTTAAATCACCCTGGGGACCGGCGATTTAATCCTACTACCCTAACTTGTGCACTGTTCATTTTAAAAATTAATATAAAATCTCCTAATTAATTCTACGAACTAAAATTTTTGGAGAAGACTTACCAGAGCTCCTAGAAGTGCTTCAGAGTGTGATATTTCTGGAAACATTCCCCTCTGTGAAGAGGCATGACGCAGAACTTGCAGACGTAGGAAGTAGTGGACCAATTGTCTTTCAAATTATCCCTCTTTGTAAACCCCATTAGAATGATTATTGCCAATTTTTTCCCATTTCTGCTGAAGTGACATCCACCCACTTCAACACCTTATAGGTACTGTCGTACACCTCACAGTGTTGGAGATAGTATCTGTTGGTCTCCTGACACAACATGTCAAAGAAACTATCTCCAAAAATAAGTTCAGCTACTTCAGACACTCGCGTAGGGTCAGATGGCATTTGTCTCACCCCTGGATCACCAGTAAACTTTCCCAAAGTGGGCGTTTTGTCCACTTTACACCATGTGGCTGTCCCCGCAATGCTAGCACTCGCACTTTCATCGGAGCTCTCACTGTCACTTTCACTTTCTCTTCTGGTCACAATATTTCGGGGGCCCCTGTCACTGCCACTGACACTGCCCTCGCTATCAGAGGACGAAGCAGTTGGCAAGTCAGATAACTCATCGGAGATCAAATCACAGATTTCTTCTTCTCCGAGAGTTCGCGCGGCCTTCAACTGCTTTCGTCTCTGAGCCATGTTGACACTGAGAATATCTTGCCTCACACATAGAAGCTTCGACTTGAACAAAGGGACTTTTCTTTAGAGTGAGAGGGGAATAGAGAGTGGTCACGTTGCTGACTCGGAAAACAAACATTCTGAAGGTCAGCTACGCAGTACTTTTACAGACACGTGGCCACCAAAGTGAGGAATAGTGTGTTGCAACATAACGTGTTATAAAAACCTAAATCTAGGCGACCGGTCTGCCACGTTTAAAACCCAAACGCCTAGGCCTACGCGTCCGGTCCGCGAAGTGTTAAAACCTTCATACTAGATACTCACAGCTGTGAGAACTTCAAATCTCCACATGAACTTTGCTTTTTATAGAAACAAATCTTCATTATTTCACCTGTTAAGAGAGGCTGACATTTGTGTGGGCTTCACAAATTAAGACAATATGCCTAGAACTTCTTGACAGTGCACCTGTCTTGTTTCAGTTAATATATATAGTTACCTAGAAAGACACTAATACTGCCAAATGGTTCACAAACATAGTAATGGTTTGCGTACAAAGCCTGATGAATGCATGCTTTGCACTGAGAAATGTTAAATATTTATTGTGAAGCAACTCCAGTGATCTGTTCGTGAAAACAACATCCATAAGGGATAATATACAACTTCACTGAAGAAATCACTCTGATTCACAATTCTTCAAATATGTCAGATTTTAACTGCAAAAGATAACCCAGAATTTTTCTCCTGGTACTGATATGGATCATGTGAAGACGTAACAGACACATTTTAATCATGTTTTACTTGTGACATGGCAGCAGACGGTGATATAATTATGGTACCAGATGGCAGCACTGGTGTTCACTGTTGTATGAAGCAGTAACTTACCCGCTGTGTACTGAGCACTGAAGGCTCCAGTCTGCTAGTGAGCATGCATGCACAGTGCTTATGAAATAGCTTGTGAGTGAAGGTGAATTTGTATTATAATAAAAGTTAACACCAAACCTGATAAAGGAAACAAAAGTTTGGATCCAGTCTATGCATTTTATGTGGCAGCCTACTGAGGCAAGTTGTCATGTCTTTAAACATGTTAATACCCCTACTTTCTTAAGCAAAATTTCAGAATTATTTAACAGACTTGGCTCATTCTGGTCTGTCATACTAGCAGTTCCATCCAGTGTCATTAATTTATAAAAGTTGTATTTCAGTATTTCATATCCTTAACATGCTTCGGTCTAATTGACCGTCTTCAGAAGAACACTATCAACATTTAGGAAACCACTATTAATGTAGTTTCAAGGAATAACTTTTATATATCAATGACTCTGTAATAGTGTTTTCCTAAATGTTGATCCTGCCCATCTGAAGATGGTCAATTAGACCGAAACATGTTAAGCATGTGAAATACTGGGATACAACTTTTACAAATTAATCACCCTGGATGGAACTGCAAGTCATTTTATATTATTTAACAGAAGTCATAAACGAAATAGTGGTGCTTTTAATTTCTGGAACAAACTGTACTAATTATCATACTGACACTACATTACAACCCATTGTCATGATATACACAAGAGAAATATAAGCTGATAATTTTTTGGGGGGGGTGGAGTGAAAGATGCTGCTGGAATCATAAAAATATTCATCATAACATATATGTAGGAGAATATTACTGTTTTAAAAGCCAAAAGCACAATACATGTTCCAAAAATTATGTCTTGGCCAAGAGTTTTGCTGTTTGCTAACAGTGGTGAACATAACCAAATATTCTGTCTCTAGTCTTCATATTGGGATCATCAATTGAACATATTTTATATTGAACCCATAACATTCTGTGACCTAGTCTGCTACACATAAGAAGATGGTTATGGATTCTAGTGTAGTACATAAACTATTGTTAAAATATTTTGCATATAAAAGGGAAATAATTGAAATTATATCATCCATTTATAGATTTTTAAAATTCCCATGCTTTGGTTAGGATTGTACTGTAGTATTATATAAGATTTAAATTGAATTTAGCATACCTCCCATAGGGTTCATTAAAATGTGCATTTATGAGGCATGTAGCAGTGTCCAGTTATCTAATACTATCCCCTCATTGTTCCATTTCTTTGTCACAAAGAAAATTTTACCCACAAGATCAGGCAATATATTCTGGAAAAAAACTGCAGCATCACATGTACTACCATGCACAGTAACAGACTGGGTACATTTTAAAATGTTCTGCTGGTAATGTAGTCGCACTTACGCACAATGGGAATTTCTAAGGCAGTGTAAATGTATTCACATATTGCTTCAGTCTATGGTCCATGTGTCAAGCTTTTTAAATTGACTTTCATGCCAATTCTAAGTCAGAAGTATTTCAAATATTTTAAATTTTTCCTGCAATCTTTGTAAAAAAAGAAAAAAGAAAACTTATTCTGAAGATGAAGGTCTCCTGGGATGTGACACTGTGTAGTTTGGTAGAAACATACCAAAATATCAGAGGAAACTGCTGTCACCATCCTCAGTCTGATCACAGCATCGCATCCCAGAAGACAAGAATCTTGGCAGTGACCATGATGAGAAACTCAATGTTCCCAAGAATTCATGTTTAGCAGGGTCTCTTGCTTTGTAATATGGCATCCAACTGTGGAAATCCTGAAGACAATTGTTCCTCTCTATAACATGTACTTGCAAATGGACAATACACAGACTTAAACCTCAGGTTTGTAGGTGCAATAACCAATGCACAACAAATCAGTGCTCAGCAGTGGTAGTGTAGCTTACTGCATTAGCAGCAGACACATCACTGTCCCTATGGCAAGCATCCATGCAGTGTACGTGGTCGCTGTGTTTCCTTCATGTTCAATGACAGTGTAACGCAGTTCCTCACGAACCTCCTCAGTCTTGACCTGCAGGTGTTGTTCCCTGGTGTCAGGTTGCTCTTGCAAGCTGGTACCATTGATGTCAACTTGCTCAGACCGTGACTGGATCACAGACCCACCAAGTTTGCCTGCAATATCAGCAACAGAATAGGATGAATCTTGAAGTCTAACAGATGTATCTATAAACTGCTAAATGTACTGGATATCTTCTGCCTTCTTATATTGATTAAAGAAACACAAACATTTCAGAAGGTGGCTCTGCTTCTGTCATGAGGTAAAAGTATAGAATCCTCTTCTGTTGGGTCCAGCAGATGAAGCTAATCTCTATCCCTGGGGTTGATCTTAGATCTATCTGTTGATCTCAGGACAGTAGGTTTCCTACATTACATTACAATACATTGCATTGCATTCCATGAATCAAACGTTAGTCAAAATGACTGTAAATCACCTGATTACTCTTTCTGCCACTACACACACTGGTATGTAATTTGACCATTGCAAGTTTTGACTGCGCACTTCAACACACTAAGGTGAAATCAATATAATGCATTAAAATCAAATGTTCTACTACCTTTTTCAAGAAGGTCATCATCTTTGTAGTCAACCCTGATATACGTAGACATGGTGACTTCAAATACTTTATTTGGGTCAGCAGGAATGGATGACACTTCCCTGCGTCTGCGCCCATATCCTGTCTGACCATTGCTGCACTCCACCTGCACAAATCAAATCACAATTTCAGTTTAACCCCTTCAGTGACAAAAGAGGTATTGAACTCGAGCCGCCACAGTGGAAAGCCAGCGACTAACCACTTGAGCTATGGCGCAGCCTTGTAAGGCTAAAACCTCACCACCATCTGCGATCCAACTGTCTAGAAAATGTGGGAGCCTCGATTTCTCACAACTTTAAGGGCCTCCATAGCCTGTTACAGGGAGAGCTTTACCTTTCATTTTTTTTACCAATAGCAATATTTCTTTTATGTATCCACAGCTTTTAATTTTTTAATCATAGGTAAAAATTAGTAGCCTCAATACCAAGAGATTCATATTTGCTAGGAATATGGCTGTATTGGCATCCGACACTGGTATTCCATCTTTCAGGTTATTATTACTGTCAGACCTTATGTGACACTTTCATATTTTCTTGCCTACTTTTAAACATGTGTTTACATATTCTTCTGTGTTTAGTGAAGGACTAGGCAACTTTGGCTTCATTGAGTGCTAATAATTGCTGCAGTTCAACTAACCCTCATTTTCCCACAAAGTGGCTTTACCCTCATGTTGGAAAGGAATTGCTATTAATTGGAAAATATGGTATGCCAGTTCTTAAAATAAGTGTATGTCGAAGGATTAAGGAAAAGAACAAAACATAAGAATTTTCTTAGAAAGAATACTACAAAGTTGGATGAGTCACACAAAGAGTGGTTTAAGTTCTGACTATCACAAACCATTCATCATTAAACAAACTATTTGTTTCACTCAACTCTTCAGAAGTCTGTAGGTTTCTTTTTTGCAATAAGCCAAAAGGGAGGATTTGCAAAATATGTTGTTGGCCTTGGAGTCACTGTAAAATATAAAGAGATTCTTCTAGTTAACTGTGGGGTTTCATATGAAGTATTACTCCATATGCTCTCCACTGGATACAAAATGTATTGTGGATTAATTTGGATTAATTTATATAGTGTAGTTAATTACTAGAAGCATGGTTCTTAGACAACGTACAAAGGATGTACATACGTATGTCAAAAGGATAAAAATAAAGAAGAGGAAGAAGAAGAATAAGGGTGATGAGAACAATAATTTTACTGCAGTATGATAGTAACTATGTGGTGTAGGGTCTTGGGACCCAGTCTAGAAAATTTAATCAAATTTCCTGCGGCCAAGGAAATGCTAATTAATGAATGCGGCAAATCCTGCAACACTAATACATGTTAGTGAAATGTGAGAGTGTCATTGGTACTGACTTCAGAGAAACTTACCCCTCTGCATTTATCCAGGCAAACATTCACCGTACCCTTGAATTGTACATAGGTGGACTCTGGGAATTTGAATGCACGGAACTTGGCTGACAGAAAGTCCCCATCGACAGTGTTAAAATTCTCAAACAAGTATGGGTCTACTGAGCACCTGAAAAACAATGTAATATTGATACATGTACATACTAACGAAACATTTCAGAACTGTATATATTTAACTCCTTGAAGAATGGAATTCATATAACAGAACAGTGACACAACATAACCTACTGAAGATGGCTTCTCTGTGCTGCAATATACTGAATCTTCACACACTTTAAATGATGTCTGTGCATTGGTGGTGATCTACTCACCCAATGAAGGTCATTTTTACCCATTTCAAAATTTGATGCATCTACATTAGAATTATCCCATTACATCCCTCTATAAGGATTGTCCGGCTCATCCACTGACAAAGCTCACACAAGCCTATATGCCACCCAATTCAATGATTAACCCCCACCATACTTGCAAGCAGGTCAACTTACTGAAAACTTTATTATAATTATAATTATATCACTGATTATAATCAGTGACACAAATATTCAGACACTGGTAAAGAATGTAATTTGCCTTGTAGTTCTTAAAGCAGTTCTACTTACATTGTTGCATAAAGTGTTTAGGTTACTGCCAATTAATGATCATAATATGAAAGAAAGCACCAATAGACCGCTGTAGGTCATGTGGCAAAGGCCGAGAAGGCCCACCCCTTACACATTCAACAATTATTTTATGACAAGAAAAATGAAAAATGGTTTGTTAACCATGCCACCCCTCATATCATACTGCCAGAGACAGCTACTTGGTTCACCCACAATGTTGCACCAGGCCTGTCCATTGAAGATGACTTTTACCAGCTTTGAATTACAGTGAATTTGCTTTGGAATTAGTCCTTTATCCCTTATTATGTCTCTGTACCGGGACTGTCCTACTGCCCTACTCACCCATTAAAGATGATGGTCTCTTCTTGGGACTTGGTGTCAGTCACCTGCATGTAGCTCACTAGCAGCCCATACACTGGTGCACTTGTCTTATCCAGGAATATTTCCATCTGCAGTGCGGTACCTGGGTTCACATTAAGCTCCCCTGTAACCAGCTGTCCTCCTTGGCGTACCCCAACACCCAGCATTGGCACTGGGGCAGACCCATTAACCTCATAGAGAACCAACGCCCTGGAAGTGTTAACACACATGAAATAAGAAATATTATTTATGTTCAAAAAAGGAAGGACGTGGAACAGAGGTATATCTCCATGTATTTTTAACAATGGCACTAGATGGAGGTGAGTGATCGACTTCAAAACAAGATTTGGAATGTATGTGTACAATACATATCTGGTACACACATTTCGTTTCTTAATAATTTTAAAATTAAGTGATTCACACAGAAATGTTCTATGAACTAGTAAGTTGGAAAGAACAAATGAGAAGAAAAAGCAACAGAAAAATATATATTTCCCAAATTGTTCCTCAATGAATGAAAAAAGTTAAATTTCCTATTTATTTCTGAAGACTGCAACACATGCCATCAATGTCATCTATGAAGAAATGTGTCCCCCCCCCCCCAAGAAAGAATGGAAATACTCGGATGTGAAGAAAGTGGGAGGGTATAAACATTTTAAGTTTTGTTGTTATGAACAGTATTAGAAGTGCACAGAATGTGCTTTTTTTTTTAGTCTTATTTTCTTCAATGTTCAACATTCTTTCAATTTTGATAATAACACAAAACTCCAGTTTAAGGTTTATTTTGGGATAAATGGGTTTGAACACTGAAATCAGAACATCTTAAATGGACATAATGTAACACTGGGGTTATCAGCTTGGAATTAATGGAATTTAATATTAATTGTGAAAAACTAAGAAATGTTAAATGGGTTCAACTGTATAATTAGCTTCAGTGAGTGGAGGCTTTTTAGAATACAACCACAAAACCATTCCATCCATTCAACATGTAATGGGGGAGGTCTATATGTAATTGTAAGCGGTTCTGCAAGAGTATGGTGTTACTTACTCGGTTTCCTTGAAGCCTGCAGGCAACACATTTCGCTTTTCCCTATGTTGTGTTGTGACACACTTGACTAAAATCACTTGTTTTGGGAGGTTCAAATCCTCGACCACCACTCGATGATAATAAACAGACTGTCCCTGTAGAACAACACATTCTCAGTTACTGTAGTGATAATGCACTACATTACAGCACACACATGAAATAGGAGGAACTGATATATCTTGCAGCACTGTGGAAAGTAGCTGGTGACAATCTCAGTACTTGTACTCATATACTTGACACTTCAGAAAGGGCTTACCGGACCTAGTGAATGCATTAAAAAAGTGGTTCTGGGTAACACAGAATTCATATTAACTGGGTAAGATCCAGAAAGTTTATGCAGTGGTGGCATTTAGAAAGATAAAGACACATAAAAATTAGAGTTTGTAATATCAAATTTCACAGCAACTTCATTGGAAATTTAATATAAAATGTCCTTAATAATGAAACACTTGGTTAGAAAACTGTTGAAAGTGTTGTTCTGTGATTTTGGTGCACATTTCAGCACGTTCTTGTCAGTCATTTCAGCAATACACTGTACTTAGAGGTTAGGAAATAATAAAATTGAAAATAACGTGTCCTAAGAAGGACTGCTTGCAGGCAATGGGCAAAGTATGATTTTGAGGACCCTGTTCTCTTTAAGTTTCCCTTTTAGAAGCAACCTTACAATATGACAGCAGTAAAAAAATGCAATTAAATTGGCCTAACCCTTCCAGCCGCACTATGGCCCTGGGGTTCATTCATCCTCTAACAGAAATGAGTACCAGGAATTAATTAAACAATTTTTCTGGGGAGTAAAGCACAACCAGCGCATAAGGCTGACAACCTTACTGCCACCTTTTAGCCGATTGTCTAGATAATGTGGGACCCTCAATGTCTCACAACCCTACGGGTCTTCACGGTCTGGTACAGGGACAGCTTTACTTTTACTTTTTTATTAACAAAAGAAAAAAAGAATAATGAAATATTAATAATACATGATCTAGAACTTATTTTGGTCTAAAATTATTTCAAACTTACTATAATATACACTGAAAGTCTTCAGATATTCAGAAATAGTTTTGGGAAAGTTTAATACTCACATAGTATGCCCCCCCAAAAAAATCTTTGCATACAGACCGATTATCCTGACGGGTCTTTATGAATTTTCCCAGTCCCTCCAGGCAAATGCTTGGATAATACCTCAAATCAGACAATGACCACTTCATTCCACAGTCATTCACATTCATCATTAACCAATTATCCTACCATTCAACGCTATACAGTCTAAATTATCAACATAATCGTTAAATAAATGCCTCACAGCAAAGCAGTACACACAGTTAGCTGGTTGTGTATCCTAGTGACACCACACCGGAACACATCAGTGAGTGAAAGTCGGAAGGTTGCCTTGTTTTGTTCCAACTCTGGGTGACAGGCCTTGTCTGCAAGAATGATAACAGTCTTTGGAGAAATTCACAGAATTCTAATTTGTGGAACACTAGGTTCATCACGTGACATCAAATTCTCACAGCAGTGAATATGAGATTGCCGCCTTCTGAAATATAACATCCTGTAGTTTGGCTGATCATTACCAATGTTTTTCGTGGACCTACCACCTCCAACTTCAGAGTAACTACTCTGCTCTATACAATCTAATTTACCCTGAAAATGGAGGTAGAACATTCCTCAGAAACGTTGGTAACAGTCTACTAGAACATACGGTGTCATATTTTGGAAGAAAGTAATATTCACTAAAATCATCAACTTCACCTTCGTAAAGTTGTCATGATTCTTAATTAGGCACAACCCCATGAAGACATTAAGACTTATCAGGAGATGGAGGTACAACTCCACGCATTCTTAATCTCAGTACTACTAGAGGGAGGAGAGTGGACAATTTCATGCTCTTGCTGCTTTACTTCTAGAGAAACATTAATTTCTAGTCTAGAAGAGAAAAATCTCTTGCCTTTGCCAGGAATCAAACTTCAGTTCCTTGTTCATACTCTTGCCTTCATTAATTAATTTGACATAGAAAAAATAAAATCAGTTAAACTATATGTCAGATATTTAGTTTAGTATTAGCAGTTTGGCCTTTTGTTTACATATATGTTTTTAATTTGACACTGACCACAAATATGATACAATTTCTAACACTTGGTCTTATTTCACACTAAAATCCTTTCACATATTCTAAAGGAAATGATATCTCCCCACTAAAATAGCACTGAATCTGTAACACGTTTCAGAGTCCATACCATCCTTTTCATGAATTACTAATTCTTCCAACTTTTCAGTGCAAACAAACACAAGAATGTATTATTTATATATAATTTAGATCGCCTTCATGTTTCAAATGGTTAATTAAAAAAAAATACAGAAATTACTGAGGTCAATCTCAATTTTCTTGCAGTTGTTGTGGTATGAAAACATGTACAAGTCATAAATTATCTATTCCATCTGTTTCTGTGACTTTCTTTGAGAGTTTTACCATATACTGGCTCCTCTTGCAATATAAAATGCTATTTAATATTGTTTGAATATCTACAAACACCAAATTTGTTTCATACATTTCTATAGGAATCAATGGTATAAAAAATAATGACAATCTGTTCACTCAAAAATGAATATAAATCATAACCAATCATATTAGTAACTCTGTAGCAAGAAATTAAAATTTGATGTGGTGTCTTGCCTTACCTGGGAAGTTTTTAAGCTGCTCTAGATAGATATTACTAGTGCTCTCTGTCCGCACTAGTTCCACCAACATGGTATTCTCTGAGCATTTTACCTTATAGTGAACTGCAAAAAAAAAAAAATGGAAGAGGTATTAGCCATGTTATTATTTTGTATAATTAAAGTTACACACCCTGCAGCATACGCAATTAGTAACCTCAAGAAAACACAACCTGTTTGCATCAGCATTATGTAGTAGAAGTAACTGTACAGGGATATCATGAAATAACATTAAGAGTTTCAGTAGTCAATAAAAATGAGGAGAGGAATACTGCAGCAGACTATGCTTCAGAAGGCAGAATATGCACAGATAACTGGACAAGTGTTTTCAAAATGGAGATTTGTGTTCAGTGTCCAGGGACAAGCTACAATTCAAAATTGTAATATTTATAAATGATACATATTGAAAGCTTTCACCGCTGACATGTATTTTGAGATTCCAAACGATTCCATGTTATTAATGTTAAGAGTGCTAGCTAGTATGCCAAACATATGTGTTTCCTTAAACTGTAATCAATGTAATATCTTTGCTTCTCTCTCTCTCTCTCTCTCTCTGGAGCTTGGCCGATTTTTCAGCTTCATAATCCTATACACAGTCGGTAGGACTCCTTGGATGGGGGATCAACCTGTCACAAGGGCTCTACCTCACACAGAACAACAGAAATACAGAATAAACGCACACAGATACACATGCCTTGAGTGGGATTCGAAAGCACGATCCCAGTGTTCAAGCGGGCAAAGACGGTTCATGCCTTAGACCAAGCAGCCATTGTGATCAGCAGTTACCACAATCACTCAAACTATTTCAGGCTGTAAGATTACTATTTTAAAGTTTCCTAGCAGTGGGTCTGAAACAGGGTCCACTCAGCCTCGTGGGGATAATTTAGGAACTATTTCAAGGAAATAGCGGCTCCGGTCTAGATAACCGAGGTTAACGGCCGCGGGGATCCGTTGCGCTGATCACGTAACAACCTCTATCCGCAAAAGTTGGCACTAACTTAGCCAACAAGCGGCGGTCGCTCGGTCGGTAGAGTTCGCTTTTGGATTACAGGCCACGGAGTTTTAAATGTATTAATCTAACAAAATTCGCATATTTTCAATCATCAGACATCATACAACATTTCAAAACTCCGTATTGAATGTTGCTAAAGTTCTTCCGTCTTACAAGTTCCCACCACCAACATATTGATACCGATAATGACATTGGGTAAGAAACAGTAACTCCAGATAATAAGGTGCTTCCAAGGGAGCTAATAGTTACTCAGTTAATCAAGAAATTTTATGGAACTCAATCATTCATTACCACGTTCTCAAGAACCCATCACTGGTCCCTATCCTGAGACAAATGAATCCAGTACATAACATGTCATTATATTTCTTAACGATATATTTTAACCATGATTTATGCTAACCGTCTTACAGTGCACACACTTCTTCACCTTACTCTTCTCTTTTGTACTGCAAGTTTCATCACTAATGTGACATCTTCAGGTGCGTTTTCTCTATGCACGTCTAACTACTGCAGTGCATGCCCTGATGTCTTCATATTAAAATGACTAAAATATATATTCATCATGTATAATAATAGATTTCAAATATTAAAACTTTTCAGGATTCATCATCCTTACGTCGTATCTCAATAGGCGAATCACGCCAATCCTCCTCTGTGGGAGCACTCTTCCTACATGCATGTGTGTATCTGTAACGTGAAATTGTTATTCATTAATACCACATTCTGACTTTTATCTGTTACGTGTGGTTTTATAATGTTTAATGTGGTATTAATGAATAACAATTTCACGTTACAGATACACACATGCATGTAGGAAGAGCGCTCCCACAGAGGAGGATTGGCGTGATTCGCGTATTGAGATACGGCGTAAGGATGACGAATCCTGAAAAGTTTTAATATTTAAAATCTATTATTATACGTGACGAATATATATTTTCGTCATTTTATATGAGGTCATCAGGGCATGCAATGCAGTAGTTAGACGTGCATAGAGAAAACGCACCTGAAGATGGCACATTAGTGCTGAAACATGTAGCGCAAAAGAGAAGCGTAAGGTGAAAGTGCACTGTAAGACGGTTAGCATAAATCATGGACATGATTCAGTGCAACAGGACGCTAAAATATAACGATATATTTTAATATTATCCAACCACACAGATCTTCCAAATGGTCTCCTTCATTCAGGATTTCCTACCAAAACTCTGTAAGCATTTCCCGTCTCTCCTGTGCATCTTTCATGTTTTGCCCAACATATATTCCCTGCTTTCATCAATCTAATAATGTCTGGCAAAAGTACAAATTATTGAAGTTACTCATTATAGGATTTTCTCCAGCCAAGAGTTAATTCCCCCTTACCAACATAAGCATTTCCTCCAGCACCCTACTGTCATATAAAAAACAGAAAAAGTATTGTTTGAACTAATTTTTGTTTTAGTTGCCTTGAAAGGCAGGCAAGATGACAATAGATTCTAGAATGAAACTAGATACAATAATGAACACTTGTGAAGAGATAAACAAAATATATTGTTTTTAGTGTAACATTTCAAGACTTGCTTAGAGGGAAGAACAATAGCATGACTGGAAGACTACGGTTCCCAGAGGCTCGTAAACGATTGAAGTCCTAATGTCTTAAATTAAGTGTTTGAACGTCTACACAAATGAAAGGAATTGTTGTGTAATTGTGGTTTAATGACATAATTATTCTTAATGTGTAAGGCTCATCATACTAGTGATGAAGGAGTGGGGAGGAGATGAGGAAAGGTAACAACTGCATAGGGGCTGCTCGTTTCCATGCACAACGGAGATTTATCTCCTAATCAGAAGCATTTACGGATTGACCACAGTTGACCATGACCGCATATCCGGTTTGTGGTACTATGTTGTAACAATCGTAACAATCGAGATGATGATGGACGCAGTGGCTGCTTGTAGCAAGTTGCATATCGTTCACAGCAGTTTAGTTTCTTCCCCCTTGACACTACAGCCCCAGTGGGCCTAGGCCTACCTCCATGAACTTCTCAGTTCACTTCGGTTTTCTAGATCTTACACATTCGGTAGGACTCCTTGGGCGGGTGATCAGCTCGTCGCAAGGCCTCTACCTGTACACAAACACAGAAAAACGCACACAAACAAACTAAACATCCATGCCTTCAGTGGGATTCGAGCCCATGATCCCGGTTTCCAAGCGAGCGAAGACAGTACATGGCTTAGACCGCTCGGCTACCGTGACATTCCTCTAATAATTTGAGTTCAAAGTAAAAAAGTATTCACCCTATAATTACTAATTAATTTCCATATGACGTATTTAAAATGCAAATGGCAGTTGTTAATATTTATTAAAATGAACAAACTACAGTTCTAACCTTTTAATGTGGGAGACTGCAAGTAGACATTATCCTAATATTGAATTTGGTTCACAAAATTACACTTCCTTGAAATGAATCAGAACCACTTGATGAATGTACAGATGCACTGAAAAAAATATTGGACCAATATTTTAGGAAATGTTTGTTTATTTCTGCCCCAATAATCAGCTTATTAATTATGAAGAGTTATTTGTTCCTGTTCTTATAATACTCGTATTCTGAATCCTTTACCACTTATGAAGAGCGGAGGTTGTAATAATATTTCACGCCCTGGACGCTGTATGTCACTCTTGCTCTTCTTCAATTGCGAATTAGATGCATTAGCCTACTCCTACTATAGACCTCCAACCTCAAATGCCATTGAAATCCATGAACTAACAGACAAACATGCCGGTCACAGTAGCCGAGCGGTCTAAGGCATGCACTGTCTTCGCTCGCTCGGAAGCCGGGATTTTGGGTTCGAATCCCACTCGGGGCATGCATGTTTGTGTGCGTTTTTCTGTGTTTGTCTACAGGTAGAGGCCTTGCGACGAGCTGATCACTCGCCCAAGGAGTCCTACCGTATGTGTAAGATCTAGTAAACGGAAGTAAAACGGAGAGTTTCATGAAGGTAGGCCTAGGCCCAAAATTGGGGCTGTAGCGCCACAGGAAAAAAAAACAGACAAATATAAGCTACCCATCATGCATTCATTTTATGTGTAGCGTATAAATACCGCATAAAATATACTTCACATTTTGTCCTTAGCATTTTCGTTTCACTGTGTCATCCAATTACCTACTTCCCTTGACAATGGCTCATAGAAAACACGATCTGGCTTGGATGTCATGTATTATCAATGCTGAAGTAGTCGTAACGCATGAAATTTTTATTTGACTCGAAACATGTATACTATATCTTTATATTTCTAGTCGTGTAAAAAAGAAAATTTCTTTTGTTCTTCGTGCAGTCCATATAATGTAAAGCTTAGAACAGCTGCAAAACTGTGTAACATCTGTGCTTGATTATGATCCTAGAAGCGACACATATCAAGCTCAATGGAATTCATGAATGTTACGTTTTGATTGTTACAAAATATATGAAAAATAATGTGTTAATATAAGGGTATGATTTCAAGTATGTAAGAAAAGGCTTTTTATACACTTTGGCGCAATACATCAGGTGCAAGAAACAGTTTGTATAGTAAGCAACATCAGTTACAGAATAAAGATCATTGCCAGACCGAACATGTTTTTTTTATTGTTAGTGGGGTGGGACTAAGTCCCTTGTACTGCGACCACTTCTGGCCTATTGTACCAGCCCCAGATGATAGGTGAGGGTGATTGTGGAGCAACTGGTAGAATGACGATTGGCAGAGGAAACCGAAGTACCCGGAGAAAACCTGCCCCAGCGCCACTAAGTCCACCACAAATCCCACTTGACCAGACCCGGGATCGAACCCGGGCCGCCGCGGTGGGGACCCAGCGACTAACAGCTTCAGCTATGGCGCGGCCTGACCGAACACGTTAGTGTTGCAATCAGTTAATAATTCCAGGACAAGAAGTTGGATGCAGAGAACAAAATTGGCGAAGGCGGTGGATGTATCATGATCTTTATACCAAATTCTTCAGCTATTTGTTGGAAAATCTTATTTCCAATCTGCAGATGTAATGTCGTGGACAATTAATTAGGGTATCTTTTCTTGAATTGT